GGTCTGCTGCAGTACCTTCTTTTCGGCAGTCTGATGGCTGCTGTGGACCCCGTGGCCGTCATCGCTGTGTTTGAGCAGGTGCACGTTAACGACGTCCTCTTCATCATGGTGTTTGGAGAGTCGCTGCTCAACGACGGTGTAACTGTGGTTCGTATGCATCATTGTTGTCTTTAGCATTACTTAAGTAACATAACCTGTGAGTTTGGTGAGACATCTGTCATAGGCATGTCCACTTTGAAGACATGAAGTGTAAAGAAAGTAAACATTCCAGCACTTCAGTTTAAGTGGTTTTACTCTAGCTGATGTCTTGCCATCTTATCTGAGCTTCTCTGGTCCATAAAGGTGTTTCTGCTTCATTTGATACGAATCATGAAGTTCCACCCCATTCACTGCTGAAACTTGAAACCTGTGACTTTATCATTAGAAGTGTGACCTTCTCAGAAGCATAAGTGCTATATCATATTGCTCCTTAAAGGAGAGGTGTACTATAAAACTGAATACGTGTCTTAGAGAACTGAATTAAGCTTAAAATTGAAAGTAAAATAAAAATTAACTAATTAATTAAATGTGGACAGAATTTGCGCATCAGAGATAATTCATCTCATAAATCAAGACACAATGCTCTCCCCTATATAAGCAGCCTTTATAGGTTAAAAGTATCATTATCAGTATTGGTATCGGCAATACTGGCAATGTATTTACTTTATTTCTGGCCCTGTATTGTATTGATATAATCTGTAACTAGAGTGAAGCAGAACAAAAGGTTAAAGGTGTCCTTAACTGGTTTCTGGCTGGGGAGCTAGAGGAGGAGCGAGTGTTCAGCAGCAGTCATCATTTGAGGAACATTTTCCACACAAAACCAGTGTGGGTTTTTTTTGTTTGTTTGTTTTTTACTATCTGTGGCATTGTGTCTCATGGCCAAATGAAATGATTTCAGAAGTTATGGTTCTTTTGTTTGCATCAATAAGCTGTGTTGCCATGTTCTTGTTAGAGAGAAGAAACTTTAATCTGATTGCCCCGAAAGAGTTCATGAGTGAAGCATATTAAGACAGTAAAGCACCTGGTAACACTTTATTCATACCACCGATAACTAAGGATGTAAGTCCCCTTCAATTAAATGGAATTTATTTTCATTTCATTTATATAAAATAGCCATGTGATTATCAGCAGTTACCACGCCTACCTAGCACGTCAGAGCCATTTTCCATCAACAACCTCCATTATAGACCCACCTACAGACACGTGACTGGACAGACATCACATGCAGTAAATCTGGGCCCATGTGGGTTTTAGCCTTGCAACGTCTGATTGGTTGAAGTAACGTGAACGTGGCATTGTTACTGTGATTCTATTGGCTCAAACGATTAAAAAAGGTGTCAATCATGCAAATTGAACGAAAGAGACCAAAGTTACAGCTCCTCAGAGTTTAAAGGGCCAGAGACCAATTAAATGCTCCATGCGCACAGCAGAAAAGGGCTATCACCATGTAAATGTGTAGTTAACAGAGATGGGCAGTAACGCGTAATCCGATTACTTTTTTCAAGTAACGAGTAAAGTAAGGGATTACTATTGCAAAAACGGTAATT